CTGCTGCTGCTGCTGCTAGTGGTGGTGGTGGTGCTGCTGCTGCTACTGGCGGTGGTGGTGCACGCGTTGCTGCAGCGCCAGGAGCAGCAGCAGGGACAGCAGCAGCAGCAGCAACAGCAGCAGCAGCAGCAGCAGCAGCAGCAGGGACAGGGCCCTCAGCTGCTGCTGGTATATACACAGACTCTGCTGGGGGTCGAGTGTGTGTGGGGTCTCCAGTGTCTCCTCTGCGGGGTGTATCGGGGGCCCCCGGGGGTATGCTGGGGGCTGGGGGCCCCCCAGCCCGCGACACGAAGTCTCCTGCACTAAGCAGCAGCAGCAGCAGCAGCAGCAGCAACAGCAACAGCAGCAGCAGCAGCAGCAGCAGCAGCAGCGCAGAGGGGTGTGAGGGGGGGGCTGTGTGGGCTGTGGTGCTAAAGGGCTCGCCCCTAAGAGAAGATCTGTGGCTGCGGGTTGCGGTGTCTGCTGCTGAGGCGCAGCAGCAGCCGCATGCATGCAGCAACAGGGCTTGGTTAGAGGGGCTGCTGGCGGTGATGAGGCAAGTGCAGCAGCAGCAGCAGCAGCAGCAGCAACAGCAGCAGCAGCAGCAGCAGCTGCTGCTGCTGCAGCAGCAACAGCTCCTCATGCAGCAGCAACAGATTCAATAGCTGCGGGGAAGGATACACTCGGTTTGGTGATGTCAAGGTACTGCAGCAGCAGCAGCAACAGCAGCAGCAGCAGCAGCAGCAGCAGCAGCAGCAGCAGCAGCAGCAGCAGNAGCAGCAGCAGCAACAGCAGCAGCAGCAGCAGCAGCAGCAGCAGCAGCAGCAGCAGCAGCAGCAGCAACAATAACACCAGCAATGTGCTTGTACTACCAGCAACAGCAGCACAATAAAAAGACACAGGAACAGCAATGCCAGCAGCAGCGACAGCAGCAGCAGCAGCAGCAGCAACAACAAGAGCAGCAGCAGCAGCAGTTCATCTGCTGCTGCTGCTGCAGCAAGAACTTGCTCTCCTGCTGCAGCAGCAAAACATATATACACACAAACGAAGAGACAGACAGCGTTCTATATGGGGGCCCCCCTCTCAATAAAAAGCATCAATCAGAGAGGGGGGGGGCCCCCCTATGTATTACTTACTTTACAGGGGCCCTGGCTTTCCTCCGCTCGGGGGCCCCCACAGGGTTTGTGTTTATTGGGGGGCCCCCCTCATCATATCTTGTCTAGGGCCCCCCCTTGGTCTTCTATGTTGTTTGGGGGCCCCCTCTCGGTCTGTGTTGCTAGGGGGCCCCCTCTTCTTCTCTGTTGTTTAGGGGCCCTTCATGGTCTCTCACATTCAGGGGCCCCTCAGGGTTTGTGTGATCTGGGGGCCCCTCTCGGTTTGTGCGTATTCGGGGGCCCCCCAGGGTTTGTGCGTTCAGGGGGCCCCTCAGGGCTTGTACTATCAGGGGGCCCCTCAGGGTTTGCGTGAGCTGGGGGCCCCCCATGGCTTGTGTGATCAAAGGGCCCCTTAAGGCCTGCGTCATCAGGGGCCCCCCCAGGGTTTGTGCGTTCAGGGGGCCCCTCAGGGTTTGTGCGTTCAGGGCCCCCCCCAGGGTTTGTGCGTTCAGGGGCCCCCCCAGGGTTTGTACTATCAGGGGGGCCCCCAGGGTTTGCTCGTTCAGGGGGCCCCCCAGGGTTTGTACTATCAGGGGGCCCCCCAGGGTTTGTGCGATCGGGGGGCCCCTCTCGAGGCCTGTGTCATGTGGGCCCCCATCATGGCTTGTGTGTGCTGGGGGCCCCTCAGGGTTAGTGTGATCCGGGGGCCCCTCAGGGTTTGTGCGTATATGGGGGCCCCCCAGGGTTTGTGCGATCGGGGGGCCCCCCAGGGTTTGTGTGTGTTATGGGGGCCCCTTAACGGCATGAGTGAATGCTCTGGTGTGTAGAACAAAACAAAAAAAAAAAATAAAAAAAGAAAAGCAAAAGGAGACGATGCGAGGGGGAGAAAGGGGGGGGGCATTGGCTGTGCTATCACCGCGGGAGTGAGAGGGCCCCCAGAGAGGGGGGGGCCCCCAGGGGCCCCCAACTCTAGAGTGGGGGGCCCCCCTATGGGTCTCCAGGTTCTAGGGAGAGGGACCCCGCAGGGGCCCCCCGGGAGCCCCCCCGGGGCCCCCCAAGCTCAAGTGAGAAAGGCCCGCCAGCCCCCTAGGGGCCCCCGAGGGGCCCCCCAGGGGCCCCGCAGCTTGTAGGGCTGATGTATTGTATTGGAGTTTTGTTTATTGTTTGGTGGCTGTGGGGAGAGAGGGGGGCCCCCGG